TCCCTCCCTCCCTTTCTTTCCCCTCAAGCACTTTACAGAAACAGGCTCCTGTGTAGATAGCTGCAATTCTCTTTAAATTGCATTTCTTTGCTAAAGAAACCATTCACCAAAAATTGGATGAATATACCTAGTGAGAGCTGGAGGAGTTTGTGGGTGAGATAAAGCTGGCAGTCAGCAGGAGAGAAAGGAGAGGAAAATGATCCACCCCAAATATCTTCTATATTTGCTTTCCCTCTTACTTTATCTCCTTTCTCCTTTTGTTTGGGAGTTTGATGCCTTGCTGATACATTTGATGCATTTGATGCATTGATRCAATGCCTAGCAAGGAGGGAACTGCTCTGGGCTGGTCCCTAAGCCCCAGGGCAATAAATTAGGATGARTTGTAACTTTTACTGCTGCTGCTTCAGCAGGACCTTGGCTCTGGCACAGACAAGGTGCCTCCATTGGGAGAAGTGACTCTCTCAGGGTGAGGATAMTCCCTGCACAGAGATCAATCTTTGCAAGCTATTACTGAGTTGGAAAACTACGTCTCCAGTGTCCCCTCCTGACTTGCTGTTTATCCTGGTGCAGGATCAGGAAAAGTGCTGATGGCTTTTCAGCTGATGGCAGYGATATGATGAAAGGAAGGAGAAACACCAAGCAAAGCAGAGAGTGATTTGTGTGTGAAAGGGAATGACCCCAACTTCCCAAAGATGGTTTTTCCATTCCTGTGCTCATCTAACCTCCTGCTCTGATTGCCCAAACAGACACGCAGCCCCGTGCCCAGAACTACCTTAGGGAATGGATTTGGGCTGATCTGCTCCATTGGAGGGATTGATCCATTTTTTTTCAATGGAAAAAAATTGCCAGTGTTGCAAGACCTGTCCTTTTCCTTCTAGTACTTTTCCTCTGCATTCCTGCAGAGTGAAGTAGGGGAGGGCAAAGGGCTAAAATGCTGATTTTTTTGGGTGTAAAATGCATTAAAACTGAAACATGAAGGAAAAACAAACAAACCAGGAACCTCTTGGCTTTTCCACTCCCTTGTGACTCTGACATGAGGAAGCCCGGGACAACAAGGTATTTTTTATATTAGGAAAAGGGTGGGATCTGCCACTGGGCAAAGGGCTGAAGGCTGTAAAYACAAACAGTCGAAGGATCGCTGCCGATGGTGTCAGCAGGGCAACGTCAGTAATTAAAAGAAGATTGACACAGTTTGGATTTGTGCTAACGATTCATACCACAGCCCGGGGCAGGAATCTGATTTATTAGGCTCCATTCAGGAACAGTGATGGGCTACACAGATTATCTAAATATTTCCCCCAAGCTGCTGTCTGTAGGTCCCAACAGTAAATTAAAGGCTGTAGGATGGAAGGCCAAAAGCCACAGAAAGGCCCCAGGCAGCACCAGGATTGCTGGGCAGAGCTGATCCAGTCTYTGCTGCTGATGGGTTGTTACCTTCCTGCCCCATCCCTGATCAGCCCAGGGGTCTTTCTTCTTGCCTGAAGTTCTTGAGCTGAGTTTCCTTCAATCTTCCCAACGCTTCCTCAATGATGTATTTCTTCCCCGTTTCTGGTGCCACTCACTGCTGGTGCAACACTTTAGTTTGCAGCTGAAGGACGCGCAGAGAGGGAGATGTGATGCAAATTAGTGCATCTGATCTGCACATCTTCTCATGAAGGTGAACATGATGAAGCTCACAGCTTCTCAGGAGCCTGGAGAGGTGGATATTCTCATCCTGAGAGTGGGATGTCAGGTGGCAGTGCTCAGACCTTGTGTATCCATTTCTGTGAGCCCTTCACTCAGGGCTCCTTGTGAGAAAACAGAAGAGTTGGAGGTGCGGTCCACCTCCACTCCAGTGTTTGTCCAAACAGAGGAAGAATCACACCCTGGGAGTGTTTGTTTCTCTCTGTTGACTCTAGAGGAGGTGCTGAAGCCACAGAAAGTTTGTTGAGGTGGATCACTTTACAAATCTTCCATTCCCACTGAGATGAAAACCAGAATTCAGACCTTGCTGTGGCTTTCAGGTTGTTCTTCCTTCAGGAGAAGGAAGCTTTCAGGTAGGATAAACCTGTGTATGCAGATCTTTTGAAATCCTCTGCTCATTGCAGATCTACTGCTTCTGATAAAATCAGGGCGTTCCTTTAAGATGGTTTCCGTGTCCCAGTGTGTCAGAACCATTTCACCTACAGAGCTAAGCTTGTTCAGTGTGCAGTGGAAAAGGTGTGAGAGCAGAGGAGCTCCACTTCCAGAGGATAAGGAATGCCATTTGTAGGGCGTGGGAGGAAGGGCAAGAGTTGCATCTATTCCAGCAGCCACTCCACTGTGTGTTCTCAGTRGAGTCCAGTGTCCTTGTAGCCTTTCCTAAGGTTGTGCTCCACCTTGGGTTTGCCACAGGCAGTTGGAATGGTTTTATGGTCTGCCTGGAGAATATTTATTGAGTATTTCAGCTATTGCTTCCTCCTAAGACAAGGGATCTGCTCAGCAGAGCTGAACTGATGAGCTGAGTGTCTTTTGCCTCGGGCTAGAAATACTTAATATCACATGAAGGGGAACCAAGAGAGATGGAGCAAAGGCACGTGTGTGTTTGTGTCTGTGCCTATCAGCTTGTTTAAAACACTGTTAAAGCAGATGAACTCTCAGGTTTAGGACTTTGCTTCTTCTGSAGGGCGGATTCACTGCAATGCTGCTATAGGATAAGAGCTTTTGCAGGAAATGGGGATGAAAATGCCCTGTTTGGGGTGAGTCTCACCCCTTGCTGTGGACCAGTAAGMAAGTGGATCTCCTCTGAGTGAGGTGGCACATGGGCTGCTCTCCCTTGTAGGCATGGGGGATACCATGGTCACAGGAGCAGTGTGCTGTGTCCATGGGGAGCACCTGCACCATATYCAAGGTTCCCCAGAGGAGTCCCAGGCTAGACAGGATAACAGCAGCACTGAGAACCCGCTGCTGACAGCCCTGGGATGGGTTGTGGGAGGGAGACACAGCAGAGGCTGTGTTGCTGTGCCCTGATGATGTYTCTCAGCCAGGATTGATCTGTGCCAGAAATTACACCTCCCACTTGCTGGGCAGGCTGAATGAGAGAAGCTTAAAAAGCTTAATCACCTGCTGGTAATTAAGAATCAARCAGTCTGCCCCAAATACCTTATCCTCAGTTCTCCACTGCTGAGCTGTGAGGTGAGGCAGCAACATTCCTCACGGGGCATTAGAAAGCAGAGACAGTTAAGATATAAAATATCAGGATGGTATCTGCAGCCTGGAGCAGGACAGCAGGAGCTGCTCTCAGCCTCTCCTCACTGTTCCCAATGCAATCCTTCCTTCCAGTCACAAGGACTGGCCAGAGCCTAAAAMCCCACACAGAACTGGATTTTGTGGTGGAAGAGCAGTGCAGAGCTGGATGTTGAGGCAGGAGGGTGAGGAGGGTCAGGAGATGAGAGCAGCAGATTGAGGGGAGGCTCTGAAGATGAGCTGACCTGTCTCACATCTGTGGATGTGAAGAAGCAGAGCACAGCTCTGCCTGGGAGAGGGCTGAGGGCTGGGGGGATGCTCTGGGGATGGGGAGGAGGATATTGCTGTGCTCTGGCTGCTCCTCTGAGTRACAGGGAAAGTGCCCCAGTGTAAACAGCTCATTTGTGGTAGCTGAATAAACATGCTCTTGGCTGCTGCCTCAGGTACCAGTGTCAGATTTCTGCTCAAACCCAGCTTCATCCACAGCTCTGCCAGGTGGTGAGGACTTGAGCTGGTCTCTGTAAAGACGTGATGCAATTTGCTTGAACCCACAAAGGGGGAATCATGTCCTTTGAAAATGCCTGTGCTGCTTTATAAAAGATCCTTGGTTTTCCACAGTCCTGTCATTTCAGTGTGGTGGGGTTTTGCTGCTTTTGCTATGTAGAAAAGGCAAATGCAGGGTGTTGCTGAGGAAAGGGGAACGTGCTGCACAGACTGAGGGGTTGTACTGGTTTATTCTGAGAGGGCATTTTTCAGGAATAATTCATACCCTCCAAAGCAAGGAGTGCCAAACACATCCAGGTGGCAGCAAATCTCCTCTTCCTGGAAGCAGCCAGGTCTGGTGCTGCTCCTGATTTTAAGGCATTACCCACTCAGAGATTGCCCCTTTTCTCAGTATTTCTCCCTGTTCCCAGCATCACTGCTGCCCTKTTTGGGCTCAAAATCAGCCCTTTCCAGGCTCCAGCCTTCCTCCTGCAGCCAGGGCTTGCACAAGGGTTACATCAATGCTGAGAGGTTTTCTGTGAGCCTTGAAAGAGGCTGGAGGGAATTGAATCATCAGAAGGAATGTGCTTGGATTCACTCAGCTGTGTTACGCTGGCACATGCTGCTGGCTGTGCTCAGCGCTGTGCCATGGGAGCAGTGGCAGGAAAGGCTGTTCCCAGAAGAGAAAATAGTCTGGGACCTCATCCTGAGGTTGTCAGCACCCTAAGGCTTCACMTGCAAAATCCCTTACATATTGAAATTCCTTGTCTCCTGTGCATGAAGCACCTTAGTGCACCTTGGATCTCACACAGGTTCCTGAGTTCGCATGTGTTTTAACCACACTTTGCAGAGCGAGGGTGGATTAAACAACAAGCCACACAGAGAGGCAAAAMTGGTGCCACAGCTTCCTTCCATCAGCCCTGACCTCCAGGCTTRGTCTTGTTTGCTGAGCCACATTTCAGTCTTGAAAAAAAATATTTTAATTGTCTTTAACAGCACAACAGTTTAAATTGTCTGGTTGAGGGTAGCTGTGTAGCAGAGGGGAATCACTGGACTTTCTGGGGTTTTCAGTCTCATGGCTTGTGCTGGCAGAGGCAAGGGAGGGCCTTAGTGTAAAATAATTTTTTTTTACCTGTATTTATGGGTAATTACCAGTCAYTGATGCAACTGTAAAAGCCCTGCTTGCAGTGGAGAGGCTTCTTCAGGGTGGGACAGAGCCTTTTCTAACCACCAGGTGTTTTGTCCACTTTTCCYTGTGCAGCAATTGAAAGGGAAGATCCTGGTGAAAGGCAAGAAGCTGAGCAGGGAGGAAGACCCYGTAAATGGGAACAACAACCTGGAGGCTGAGGATGTCTCTGATGAAGATGAAGCTGCTGAAATTGAAGATGAATCTGTGAAGACCAAAGTGGAGCAGAAGGGGAAGGTAAGTAAAAGAAGTAACYACTGGTAAATCACTTTTTAGGTGGGTTTTGTACCACACCTAAAGAAATAAAAATGGAAAAGCAGTTGAAATACAATTTTTCATGTGTTCCCAGCCAAGACAGGTCTCAGTGTGGTTTCAGCTACTCAGCTGGGGATATGTAAGGGTGAATTGTTGAAATTTCTGGGGCTGAGAATCCTGGTGTTTGCTCAGCTTAATGATCCCTTAAGGACCCTGCAGTGGGGACAGACCATGGAGCATTTATGGAAGCAGTGGAAGGGCTCAATCTCTCTGTCTGATTTCCAGAAATCTGTTTGTCATGGGACAATCATGACTTTGGCTTCTCCAGTCACATTTTGGAATGTACCTGCACCCTCACTGACTGTTCGTGAGCTGGAGGAGGGAGGGAGGGCAGATCTATGGGTAAGGGGTAAGCAGTTACYAAAGCAATTTGTGTGATGATTTCTGGAAGGAAGAGGCTGGCCTTTGCACAAGTGTTCAGCCCCATCATGTGAGGAAATGGATTTTTCCAGCATTCAGGTCCTTGTAAGCCCATGTCCCTTCAGGGTWCATTCCCAGGTGACACAGACACATTCAGCCCCACTGATGGCAAAGATGATGGGTGTTGCCTCTGGATCTGGTTTCATCCACGTTTCCCTGTGATGATTTGCTCACTCTTTGAGGGTCTTATTTATTTCTCTGCTCTCTAGTCAATAATGTAGAYGCTATTTTGACATCTGTCACTTTCTTTTCTTGCCTCTGATGGGAGCTGGTGACTCTGACTTGCACCAATGAATGTGGCTGTGGATTTGGAGTAATCAAAGCATTGTGAGAACGTCCTAGTTCAAGGAGAAAAAAGCCCAAGCTTTGTGGATCCCAAAAATCCTTCACTTGCCTTTATTTCCAGGTTTGCATGCCTGGGCCTGGACAGTATGGAAAGGTCATTGCTAAGGCTCTGTTACAAAGTTTAGCACCTGGATGTGGGTGCTGAAATACAAATGGTCCAGCAGAGAGCAGCAGGAAGGGGATCCCACTAATAAAGGGGGAATCCTTTCCCACTCATTCCTGCCCAGGGTGACAACACAGAGGGCACACCAGCAGCCACTGAGTGTTGAGAGTGTGCATCCTTTTTATGTGAAAAGGTGGAGGAGAGAAGCCCCAGGGGTCTTGKAGAAAACACAATTATYGCTTTTGAGCACGACTGCAAAAACKCCCCACAAACCTCTCGCTCTCCTGTTTGTAGAGTGACACCTTGAAGCTGGCCAAGGAGCTGTCAGACACAGTTGTCTACTGCAAGAGTGTCCATTTTGAAGGCTTTGATGACCCCAGCCATCCTCGGGCTTTCTATGAGATGTCGTCGTTCTCGGAGAGCAAAGCTCTGAAACTGGCCCAGGAGTCTGGTACGTGTGTTCCACCCTCCTCTGTCCCTCTGTTCCCCAAAAAGGAACAGTTGCTGGTGCAAAAGGCATCCCAGAAAAATGGGTTATGACCTCTTTGGTCAAGCATGTCACTGAGAAACAGTGGGTAGAGCTTAATGTCCTTGAGGCTTGTCCTTCCCTACCAAGAAGGGCATTTGTGCCAGTGGTTCCCATTCAGCCAGACCTGCCCGGCAGACGGGAGCACACAGCAGCAGCAGCAGCAGCAATGGGTTAAAGTAGCTCCAGCACTGAAAGGAGGTTTTCTTCTGGTTTTTTTTGGTTTTTTTTTTTTCTTTCTCTGTAGGAACCAGTTTTATCCATCACAACATCAGGCACTTGAGCCGGATCTACCCAGCAGGCTGGAGGACAGACTCTTCCAACTACAGCCCCGTGGACCTGTGGAACGTTGGCTGCCAGATTGGTGGGTGTCACTGGGAGGCTGCAGGGGCTCAGCTGGGGTCACACCTGGCCTGGCTGTGGAGGGGCTTCAGCTGAGGTAGAATCTCAATCCTTTCACAGCCCGAGGCTCAGCAGTCGCTGGGAGAGACCAGCTTTCCAGCCAGTGCCCAGTGACTTTCCACAGAGCATTTCCTATCTCACCACAAATCCATCAGGAGAGGCTTTTCTGCACATTARTGTGCAAATCCCTGCAATTTCACTGTCAGCAGAGTTATTGCCATTTAACAAAGGAGGAGGGAGCATGMGCTCCATGGGTCCTGCAGACCCCACAGGGGCACAGGTAGCACCCCTTGCCATGTCTGGCCTCAGGACAGTCCTTGGGAGGCACCCTTGGGGTACAGAAAGGCCAGACCTGCATGGTTTATCTGACCTCAATCCAGTATTTGGGCACTCAAAGTAAGATTTTTTCCAGAAGCCCTGAGTACTTGCAGCTCCCAGTAAAACCAGTACTGCAGTTATCAAAGTCTTGCTGCAGGTGGAAAAAAAGGGGAGTGCCTTAAAATGCTCTCAGCCTTCAAGTATGACAGGGTGGAAAGGATCCAGGACCAGTATAAATTTCTCTGCCTTAAGAGATGTCTTAGATGTTGCTAAAGAGATTAAAATCATCTTTGAGGAAATCAGGGGAGCACTGAGGAGCTGCTGGGGTCCATGTGTGGTGTGGGTGAGGCTCTTCACAGAGACTGTTCCAGGTTTTCCATCAGTGCCTTAAAAAAAGATATCGACCAATTGGGAAGAATACAAGGAATGTGCCTGGTGTTAGACACCAGTGAGGCTTGATCTATTTTGGGCAGCAGGCAATGAAGAGATGATTTGATCACAGCTTCTGTGCTCCCACCTGAGGAGCTCAGACAATGAGGAGCTYTCCAGTCCAAACAACAGAGGCATCGGTGCCCCGGGCATGGCAGATTAAAACAGGCAGATGTGGGCTGGAAAGGAGGGTTTATAATGAGCCTAAGTAGCCAGAGAAATTATCTGAGAGGGATTTGCTGGCTTCACTGCAGGAGAKAACTCCTTCAGCATAGAAATTAAGGGGTTTATCCAAAAGATGCAGGTGCTGTAGGTAGCATAAATTCCATGCAGGACAATTTTTGATCCTGTGGAAGGCAGGATGGCTTTAATGGCTTCTCCTGTCTCTGTCATCTCTGGATTCAAGAAATCCTCAGGGCTAGCAGGCTGTGAGGGTCAGAGTTTACCACTGCTCTTTGAAGCGTGGAAAAGCCAATGTTTATGTCCATGAAGTGCAGTTTCATSTGAACAGAATTAGCATGAAAAGATTCCTATTGATTTATCTGAGTGACTGAAGTTATTTATTTATGTTGCAGTTGCCCTAAATTTCCAGACAGCAGGCACAGAAATGGATGTGTACCAGGGTCGGTTCCAGGACAATGGGTTTTCTGGGTATGTCCTGAAACCAGAATTCCTCCGGGATGAGCAAACCAAATTCAATCCAAAATCCATCACAGAAGGAACATGGGGGACAAAGAAGAAGCTCCTGCTTAAAGTAAGAATAGAAGTGGGAAAACATCTCGGTATCATCCACCTCTGAAGGGGGGAGGGTGTGTAGATTCTACCTTCTCCTTCCTCTGGTCCCACCTTCAGTGTTGTCCTAACCCTGCTGATTTCCCACATCTGGGGTCTCTCATGGATTTGGATCCTCCAGGGGTGTACTCACATGTTTAATGCTGGGCAATGGGTTAATGACAGTATTTGCTGTTGTTCAGAATGGTACAGGCAGATGTGCAATCACTTTCCCGAGTTCCCCAGTATGAGCTGATCACTGTGGGGACATTCAGAGAAGTTGCCTGTAGCTGGCTGGGCTGGAGCAATGTTCTTTAGGTGCTTTAGCTCATGACAGCTTCCCCTGAAGGATCTCACAGCACCGGCTCTGGACGGGCAGCACCAGCTCTCACAGCAGATCCTGCACTCCTGGTGAAGGAGAGGGAATATTCCAGGGAGCCCSCTCTCCTGGTGATGTGCTGACCTTTTCCTCTGTTTCCTCCACAGATTATCTCTGGTCAGCAGCTGCCAAAGGTGAACAAAAGCAAAAACTCCATTGTAGATCCCAAGGTAACAATAGAGATCCACGGTGTCCAGCAGGACAACAACAAGAAGCAAACCAAGGTCATCGAAAACAATGGTGAGGGGCTTTCCTCTAAATTGTGCTCCCCTGAGCAGGAGCCCTTTCCTATTCCTTGGCAAGACTGATCCTGTGGCCAGACCTGCCCAGGGCACCCAAGCCTGCCCACATTAACCAGATACACGAGGTGTTGCTCTTCTGTTGTCCTGAGACAGAAATTCCCTTTAAAACAGCATCAGCCACATGAGTTGTTTGGGGCTGGCTGCCAGATTTGCAGAGCTAGAGCTTTGGAAGTGCTCTTTACCTCCWTGCAGCTGGATTTGGCCTGGGGTGCAGAGGTTTTCACGAGGATCTTCCCAGAGGAAGCTTCTTGTGCGGCTGATTGTGTCCTAAAAGTGTCATAAACTCACAAAAAATTGAGGTTGCAGGGAACTTCCGAGGTGTCTGTTCCAGCTTCTGCCTATTGTAGGGCCACACAAAGTTTACTCAAGCTGCTCAGGGTATTGCCTGGATTAATTCTGAATATCTCAAAACTTTGAGGACCATTTCTTATCAGTGAGACATGGCTGTGACTTCCCTTTGTGCAGTGAGRATCTGAATATTATGGCCTGCACAAACACACACACATTCTGCTTTTCTGYGTGGAGTAAGAGCCAGGCACTGGAAAGCTGGTGCATATTTTCCTGCCTGCTAACAATGTTTCCCTTTCYTCTTTCCTGTTGGAATAAATCTGGCCTGGCTCCTAAAGCTCATTTCCGTCACCAACAATAATTTTTATCGCCTGTCAAGTGAAAGTTGTGTAGGGAACATTTTGGAGCTGCCAGGGYTGTTCCTCAGGGCTGCTGAGCACTTCCAGCCCCATGGCCATCCCTTCCCTGGCTGGAGCAATACTGGAATGAAGCTGGAGTGATAAGTGCTGCCTTAGGGAAAGCAAATCAAACAATGAAAACACCCCTGTTGGAAAGGATCAGCTGCAGAGAGGGATTTGCCTGTCATGGGCTGAGGTTTAAGGTGTGTGGCCATTACAGCAATTCACCTGGTTTGGTATTTTTTTTCCAAGTAGGACAAAGAGGCAAATAGAGACAAATAATTGGACTCTTCCAGATTTTTTTTTTTTTACTTTTAATAGTCTAACATATTGTTAGTAACACAGTTGGCACTTGGAGGTATATATTGAATTGGACCTGATGGACTTGAGGGTTTTCTCCAAGCTAAATGATTCCATGTTGGTGGGACTGAATCAGGGGCWATGGCACAGAGCAGGTCACAAACAGCTCCCTGTGGAGCTTGAGAGGCTGCAGGAACCTGCTGGCTCTGCACCTCTGAGCATCTCAGTGGCTCTGAGATGGGCTGAGAATCCCCCACAGGTGCCAGCACAGARAAACCTGCTGTGCCAGGGCTGGTGACTTTCCCTCAGCTTCCATGATTTCTGCTCCCATGGAATCAGCAACACTGTGTTTTCCCCAAGGATGAAGGGAGTCATTGTGTCCCCTGAACAGYCCAGTTGGGTTAATCCTATAAAAGTCCAGATAAAAGCACAGGTATTTTGTACTGGCACAGTCCACAGGCCCATCTCAGCCCCTTCAGGGCCAGATGAAAGATCCCTGTTTCCTGCTGGATGACCCACACACCTTCCATAAGCAGCAGGCTCCAGGGGACACCGTGCTGTCCTTGGTCACTGCTCAGCACAGGCAGCAGGGTTTCCAGCAGGATGTCCTCTCCTGTTTGCTCCTGGGGAGTGGTTTATTGACACTGCACCTGCCACAGCCTGCAGAGAGAGCACTGAGCTTGCTCTGTGTCCCTCGTGTGTGCTGGTCTCAGTTTTGTTTGTTTTGTGAGTCTGGACCACGTGACTCTTACCCAGACTTGATTATGCTTTTTGTAATCAGACACTCCTCAYTAACTTTCTGGCAGATGGGGAAATTGGGGCCCAGGGTGATGATTAGGTGGGTGTAATCTCAAACTGTTGGAGAGGCTTGAGACCCCAGAGAGCTGTCACAACACAAAAGCACAGCTTTCCTCTCTGGCCTCCCCTGGTTTAGGGCTGTAAATGTTTGCATCAAGTCTAACAGCAACCAAAGATATCCATGTACCAGCCAGCAAGAGYCCGTGAAGCAGAGCTGAATTCCCTCTCTGGCTTCTCACTCCTTGCTAGGACCAAAGTGTGCAGTGAGCAGCCCAAGTTGAAGGATTTATTAATTCCAGGTTTATTAATTCCAAATCTGTATCAGACCATGGAGCAAGGCTGTTGGCACCTCTTMAGAGCCTTGGTCTGGCTCAGATTAGGCTGTCAGGCAAAGTCTCCATCCATTTGCAATGCATCCATTGGTCCTTGGACCACCRTTCTTGCTGCCAACATCTCTGACCTCCCCCCTTGTCTGTGCTCCCCAGGCTTTAACCCCAACTGGAATGAAGAGTTTACATTCGACATAGAAATCCCTGCRCTTGCCCTGGTCCGGTTTGTGGTGGAGGACTTCGACATGTCAACCAAAAATGACTTCATCGGGCAATACACCCTTCCCTTCACRAGTCTGAAGCAAGGTAAGGCCCTGCTCCCTGCTCCTCACAGTCACTTTGGGAAGCTGCAGTGCCCTGGGTGAGGGGTTCAGGTCCGTCACTCCTTGAGTCAGAATGAATTTTTTGGGCAGCTGTTTTTTGGGAGGGTCTCCCTTGTCACCAGAGACCTTGGGCACATTTTGTTATCCACACTCAGAGCTGTTCCTCTGGGACCTGCCTGTCCAGGATCCCGTGGGAAACTGGGAACAAAACGCTCTGAGACAGGGACATGTTTGTGCAGGGTCCTGGCAAACACCAGCAAATGCTTTTCCAAGTGGACTAAAGGCCACTTCCCATCTGTGTCTCTGCCTCCAGGTTATCGCCACATCCATCTCCTGACCAAGAACGGAGACCCGTACTCCTCCTCCACCCTCTTTGTGTACATCAACATCCAGGACTGTGATTAGCAGCCTGGCTCCTCCAGGCCCCAGTGAGCCTCCTTACAGACCTGGAAGGAATTCAGTGTGTGAACTCTGCCAAAGCCAGGGTCAGTCAGTCCCCAGCACCTTCCCTGGAGCAGCCCTCACTGCTCCGTAGGACCCCTGAYGTGAAGCAGCCATCGACCTTCTCCCTGCTGCGTGCTGGAAACATCCTAATGCTGCTGTTGAGATTCATCCTTTTGTACCTGTTGGACCAATCCAGCTGTGGTTTTAGTTCACTTTATTTAGGTTTTTTAATGTTGCTTTTAACGAGAGGATAGGAACTCCTTTTTTGGTGAAGTACAGCTCTTGGGTTGGGCTCGGTCAGGCATCTGGGCAAAGCACCCGACATCTGTGCAAGGAAAAGTCTCCCTCAGCACTGAAATCAGTGGCCAAGTGCCAGGTGACTCTTGCAAACTGCAGGTGTCGGGCATCTTTCACCATATGAAAACGGGGACACGATTTCCCTCTTCCCTGTTACAGATTAAAGAAGAAAGCTGCACTACAAAGCCCCGTGTTATGTAACCCGAGTTTCCTTTTGTGTCGTAATAAAAAATGCATGAACACTACTCTGCCTGTGCGCCTGGCTCCYGGCCAGGCCGCTTTGCTCTCATCCTGTGAAGGAGAAAGAAGCTGCCGAGCAGCAGATTTCCCTCTGACCCAAAGTGAAACCCACTCAAAGGGACCTCAGAAAACATCTTTTGCCAAAGACAGTGGAAACACGCTCAACTGACAGTAGGGCTTTTTTTTTTTTTTTTTTTTTT